TTATTATAACCCTGCAGGCGAATTTCGAGTAGATAAAGAAGGATCTCCAATTTTGCTCAACTGTCTCATGTACAAAATGTGTTACTATAGATTCGGACAAGTTTACACCGAAGGCGGTAAGACTTTTTACTTTATCAAAATTGTAGTCAATAAGAGTCCATTTTACGGCTGTTCTAATTTTGTTGAAAATTTAAATAGGTAAGCCTTCAGGCTACGACAGGGTAAGAAATATGGAGATTGGAAATAAGGATTTCGAATTAAATACATTGGAAGAAGCGTACACGACGGAGCATTGGCTCGTACGAATTTATAAAGTGAAGGATTTACGAAACCGAGGATCTTAAAGTGCTCTAACATCAGGTTAAAATATGGTCTATTGCCACATCTTCATAAATCTTTCGATATTTACATTCATTTATGTACAAGTTTCGCGATAATTACTGCAGCATTTAATACGTACTATTGTGCATTGTGCGTATTATTATGCATTGTAGTATAACCAAAACAGTTTATATAAATGAAATGTTATAAAGATAAAAAAATGACTAAATATAAATATCGCTATACCCAGTTTACTAGTATTTTAAAAAAGGTGCACGTATTTCGACAGTGGCCTGTTAAAATATACAATACTGGATAACATGATTACTAATGTAATGCATTTCTTTAGTGTACGTCTATACTTTAAGTGTAAGAGAGAATATATGATTTTGTAATAAATATTTCGCATCTAATGCGCGTTATATCGGATGATTATGTTGTTTCTAAAATTGTAAAAGAATTATACCGAAATGAATATATATATTTCATAAAACTTATATTAATTTCTTTTAAAGACAAAATATATATATATATAATCACAAATGTTTAAATTAGTTATTAAAATCCTAAGTAAATGCGAAATATCTTAAATTTATCTAAATAGATTAATCATTACAGCTTAACTATATCGAAATATGAGAAAAACAATGTAATTAGATTGCATTGTTTAGGCCAATTGTATAAATATAAATGAAATGAATACAAGTAGGGGGCATGTGTTTTATATTTTTTATTCTATATATTTAATAGACTGTAAAACATCGTTAAAACTTAAGAATTAGCAAATACTTGAATAAATGTCTTTTATTTCAAGACTAATTTGTGATGCGTTGTTATTTTACGTTATTCCGTTATATTATTTATACAAACTGTTTTAAAAATTCTAGCTCGGCATTCTTTTTCGATCTCTTTAACATTCGACTTTAACAAAGATAGGAATGGCTATTTCGTTTAAATAATCTTAAAGCTGCACAATGGAATTTACATTTCTAACATTACATAATTATCTTCTGATAGACCACAAAGGATCCAATTGGCTTAAAGGATCGAGAACTCCGCCATTAGATTTTTCTGACGATGTTGAATTTTTACTTGATGTACTATCACTTGTTAAAGTTGTTTGCGTTTTTCCTGAAATAAGAGGTGTTTGTTTAGAAGGTTTAACATTTAATATTTAGCAAATTGCTTACCTAAAACTTATATTACAAATCAATTTTATATTTTTAATAATTGCATACCTTGTTCAGAATCAGAACGATGCATTCCTACGCCAAGATTGTGAAGAAAATCATCCGAAGGATGACATTGTATTGATTTCTTTGATCCTTTTTCCTTGTTTCCTTTGAATCCGTCAAAATTCTCAAATGTGGATCGAGTAGATGACAAAATTCCACCTGAGACAAAATAGAGTATATTGTCAATACAGTTTTATTGAAAAATATCATGACAGAAATGATTTTTCTTACGTTTCATTAAAATGTCCTGAGCGTGATATAATACCAGTCTATAAGCAAATAACAACGATTCTTTATTTACGACTTGTTTGCGGCATTTTGCAAGGCCTTTGAAAACCAGTGGAACATCCACGATTCCACAACCCGCTCGTATATGACATACTGTTGTAGCAGCTACTAAAAACAAACTACTTAACGAGCCGCCATCTAAACAATGTACAACTACGGGCTTGGGAGAGCAACGTCTTAATGCCTGCTCTGTCATCACATCGCTTGAAAATGCAAGTAGAGCACCGGGGCTACTTGGAAAACCACTGGAAGAGTAAAATATATTAATCACTGTATGTATTATTCAAGTACTTTGATTATAGTCAACTTATATATATACTTAGAAGGCCACGTAAGAAACTGCATATGTACAACGACTTTTTCAGATTTCTTTTTATTATGTTGTATGGAAAGTGTTCTTTGAATGTAGGTTGTGTGATTAACTATCTTTTTTAACGAGATTGTAAAACTTCCTACATCCAAATTGCTGTCTTCACTTATGGGCCAGTATAACTCTCCATTCAGCTATAAACACACAAATTTTATGTTATTAAGTATACGTAAATCTGCAATAATGTTGCAATAAAAAATATATATACATTTATACATTTTGCGGAAATATATACTATTTATTATTCATACAAACCTGGGCATTAGATGCTAAACACGCAATAACTTCGCTCTCTTGTTCCCAAATCATTGCCCAAAAAACGTCCAATTTATCTGGTAATGGCGTTTGAGTTATAATAAATGCTGTAGGTATCCATTGCGTGATTTCCATAATATGAGATGCATTTATATACGACGAAATATCTGACGATGATATTTGCACTCGTGTAGTATCATATGGAATACAATCGACCGTTCGATTTTCAGACGAATGAGCCAACGCTACAGTACTTGACTGTTTTCCATCTTCTCGTTCCTGAAGAAAAAAACAGGAAAATTATGTGAATTAAAATACATCTTGCGTGTTCTTAAATACTTATTTTTACTCGATTATAAAATGTGATTAATATAATATTAGCAAAATTTTTATTTTTCGACTTACTTCAAAGTCTTGAACTTCTTTCCACTTAATATCAAGATTCGTAGCTCCGCTTAGAGTTTTCACGAGTAAACTATCCACGAATTTTTCATATTTCTCAACGTCATTGACAAACTTTTGTAATGCCGCTGGTTCTCCTAAAGGATCCTTTTTCGGTTGAACGTCATTGTACCAAGTATCCCATACAATTTGTAAATTTTCATGATCACTTTTATCCTCAGTAGAAACCGTTGCCTCTTGTTCAGTCTTATGGGGGTTATCTTGATCGATTTTTTCCGTCTTATCATCTTCCGCAGTATTGTTTGTTACCGTCTCCTCTTTTTTCTGCACTGTGGAAAGAGGTCGTACCTCCGGCACGAGAGGCGCATGATTTATAGTAATGTCGAGATCAGCAAGAAGATCAACATTTGATTTCAGTTCATCGGATTTGGTTGTGAGTTTCATTGGATTAGCACTTGTTGTTGTGTTTGTCCCGCTATTGACGGCCTGCATGTAAGTCTGATTGTAATTGGTGTGACTTTCAGATTTCGTAACTGAACCAGCTGAAATAAAATACATATAAGAATACATATGAATAAATTTACGTATAAAAATAAAATAAGATTAGCGATATTGTGACATACCTTGACCTTGCATTTGAAGACCGTAAGGCATAGTATAATACGTGTCGTTCCCTGTCTGAGACTGATAAACTTGGCTGTACTGTGATGACGGTGTTTGACTGACAGTATTGTTGCCCGCATTCGTATATCTTGCATTTGTTTCCTGCTGCTGATAAACATTACCAGCCGCAACGTCGGTGGACGTCACCGGAACTGTCGCCTCTAATGCTTGAGAAGTCTGTGCACCTTGGGGATTAGAGGCGTAACTATAAACTTGAGCTTGACTAACGGGATTGTACGTATACGTCATTGTGTTGGTTCCATGGGTATTTTGCATGTAGGCATAATTTTGGCCTTGCGAATAATTCGGATATTGCACGTAGCCCGAATAAGGAGCTTGCTGCGAGTATTGATACGATTGCGAATAACTCTGCACTGTTGTTGTTGGTTTCGTGTGGCTCTGTATTATTTCCGAGCCACCTGAGCTGTTTAAATAAGCATAAGTGTTAGACGTGTCTCCGGGTAGCATGTTGGTCTGTTGATACGACACACCAGCGGCGTTGTGATAATTTTGATAAGTACTTGGATAATTTTGAGCGACAGCGTTCATTTGCACCTGCGTACCGTACGCGGCATACGTTTTATCCGTATAACTCTGCGTACTCTGCTCTGTATTGGTTTGCTGCGAATACTGGACAGGATTAACGCTGTGTAAATTCGAGGGATACGACGTCGGAGCCTCACTTGTCGATGTTATAGAGTGTACAGGCTGATTGCTGGCATTCGGTTGCGGCGATTGCATATATTGCGTCGGAGGAACGACAGTTGCGGTGTCGTATGTATTATGAGTATATGAGATTCGTTGGTTTTCCGCTGGATTGTAATACGCGGCATTCTGATAATTTTGGGGATACGTCATGTCGGGATGGCCAGCTGGAGGCAGTGAATAGTTCTGCGTCAGTGTATTATCCGTCGTTGATAGCGCCTGCTGAGATCCAATGGAGTTCTGATCACCGTGAGATATTTCTTGGCCTAAAGTTGTCTTCTGTTGATTATTATATTGCTGAGCTTGCTGCGCAATACTGTAAGTTTGCCCTTGAACATCCGTCGACGACGTGCTACTTATGGTTACACCGATCGTAGAGACAGGCATCTGCGTCACTGGTTGAACCTGCGATGGCACCTCTGTTGTTCCGCTATTAATTGCAGCGGCAGCTGCTTCTTGATTGGGAACGTACGGCGTTGCAACATTGTAACTACTGTAACCGGTTGGCGACTGATATGCATCGTATTGCAAAGCAGTATTAGAGACGTTGTAGTTAGAATGCGAGACGCCGCGGAATTTATCTTGTCCGGTGGTGGCCGCAAGTAGAGTTTGTCCATTTGGTACGTAGGAGCTTGCAGGATACTGCGCATTCGAATTAGATGCATTAGCAGTTGGCGTGGACAAGGCTGGTTGCTGGTAGACGTTCGTAGTGTTCGTATTAGTGGTTGGTAAATAATTCTGATTCAGAGTATTGCTGACAATTGGATTTTCGTAATAGTTCTGAGTGCCGTACGCGTACGGAGAATTTGTTCTGTAATCGGCAGGGTTGTATGTTGCGGGGTAGTAGTGTTGCGAGGATTTCACAGACGAAGACGGAATTTCCGATGCACTTCCGGGTATTGCACTTGGAGATTGAATTAAATTTTTGTCTGCCATGTCAGTCGCCAGTGACTTCGATGTTGAATCGATTGGCATCGTTGCAGCATGCCCTTTGTAAAAATTGTAATATGGATTCTGATAACCAGTACTACTGCCTTCTGCTCTGTTGTTCAAGTAATCTTTTAATTTCAGGCCATTGTTAGATCGAGTACGTCCTTGATCGTAGGTCGACGGTATTGTCGCATCAGTCTTCTCGTATGTGTTCTTACTATCCTGAGCAAGTATTTGCTCCCGCTCTTCCTCTTGCACTCTACACGTACTTTTAACTCGTTGTAATAACTTCGCAACATTTATTTCTAATTTCCTATAGAATTCTAAGCCCTTGCTCGATTTTGCTAGTAGATCCTCGTATGCGTCATAAGAATTAATCAAAGAGGATATCATAATTTCTCTACGTTTTAGTATCTCCTCGACATTCTTTCGTACGTTAGCGGTCTGCGCGTATACGTCTGTTAAAGCCGTTAATATATTATCTTGTGCAGCAAGATTTTGCTCTATTAAGTTTACCTGCAATATTAAATCGATTTATTCAAGCGTCACTCGTGAAAGAAATAAAATATTTAATACAAGTATGTAATTTTACCGACCAAACTTTGATGCTTGCTAAGCTGATCTGCAAATAAACGATCCAGAGAAGCAGATTCGGATGTTGCTGTGACCAATAAACGTGTTAAATCATCCTGCGCAATTTGATCCCGTAATTTAGTATGCAAATCAAGTCTCTGCATTCGCATTTCATCTACTTTACTCAATATACGTTTCAATTCTTTAGTATGCATTTTCTCTATTTCTTTTGCGTTTTGTGATTTTTCGGAACTTTGATCTAAATAAAACATTAAAGCAATAAATATATATTTTGACGTCAATTAATTGTTTAAAGTACTGCAATTATTCAATATGTTAATAAACAATACAAAACTTACCCAAGAGATATGTGGTCGGTGAAGGAATCTGCGCCATTAAATCAGCCAACGGTTGCGAGAGAACTTTTAAGTTTTTCACATGCATTGTTATTGCTTTATGAAGAGCCTGATTGCTCTCAGAAGCCTTATTATGTGCTTCTTCGTATTTTTTAGCTTCTCTCGTTAAATCTGTCGCTACTATAGACGGTGGCCTCTTACCTACTGCATCTTGATATTTCTTTTCTCTATAACAAATCAAATTCTCTTATATTATATGCAGAAATATATGGTAATATTTTCTAATTGCTTTTACAATCATTATATGAATGATGTTAGTGGCTTAAAATTTTGATAAATGCAAAAGGTTAAATTCATACTTTTGTTCCTCTTCCAATAGAAGTTTCGATATATCCTTTAGTACTCTCTCAACATCTTGACTTGTTTCGGATAATTTTCCCATAATATCTATCAAATCTTGAATGACATGTTGTTTTGCGTTAAGTGCCGCGCATCGTTCGACTAATTCTTCTGGGAGAGGTAAGCATTCCCAATCTGAAGTTTGTATATCAGGATCCCACAAATTCAAGTGTTCCAACTTTAAGGAAGTCAGAAAAGTGTTGAGATATTGATCCTTTTCCTCGACTTTTGCTCCAACAGAACGCAATATTTTTGCCTTTTCTTCCGAATAAAGAGAACTAGCTTCATGCACTTTCATAGGAACTAATCTGAAATAATATATCAATATACAATGATATTATACAGTATGTCTTCAGATTAAAGAAATTGACAATATTTTTTTATAAGTAAAAATTAACAAAAAATTATTTAAAAAAAACAGTTTTGTTAGTTATGCTATCTATATAGCATAATACTTAATACAGTAATAACAAATTAGACTATATGTAAAAGAAATATTAAAGTAATATGGATTATAATTACCTCGCAAATATATCTTGTCCTGATACCTCCGGATCACTTATATTGAAGGATATTCCTTTGACTAAAGAAGCACCTTTCACTGTAGGAAGAGTTTCCTTTTCCGGCACTTCCTCATGATAGATAAATTCATTCTCGTTTTTAGCAGCTTTTCTCTTTCCTTCTATCACATCATTTGTGAATGTGAGTGATTCTTCCACTGCGGCTTTTTCTTCTTTTACGTTAGCGAAATCATAAATTGCATGTGCCTCATTAAGAGACGCTAATGCAGCATTATAAAAAGCTACTCGCTCTCCCATTTTTCTTTGTTCCTCAGCGGCAAGACCTTGATAAAGATATGTGACAGCTGAGTGATACGCCTTTTTAAACTTCACATAACGTTTCCAGCTCTGCAAATTTGTAATAATTATTCTCCTCGTAAACATTGTTAATTTTATAAAACTGTGTACAAAATAACGTTCAAATATAAACTACAATGTTATTTACCTTATAAATCTTGGTACCCACGGTATCAGATACAGCAGTTCCATCTTCACTTCCACCTTGCTCCAATGTGTTTAATGCCATGGTAAAGTAGTCTACTATTTGCTTCGCGACTTTTGCTGTATAATACATACATACTATATGTAATGACAGACAAAACTAAGCAGTTAATATAAAAGCTAATTAGTATAACTGACAATTGACAATACCTACCTACAATTGTCGGTTTACGATTATCCAACATGCTCTTTTCCAATATGCATTCTTGAGCTTGTGCCAAACAGAGCTGATGCATAAAAGTCATTAATTCTGGCGCTAGATCCACACCGGATGGTTGAGGGTAACTATTTTTTAAGTGCTCAAAAGCCCAAGCTGCACATTGGAAATGAGTACATGCCATTTTCATTCCATCTGCACTATTTCTTTCTGTGCGTGCGCCCAGTTGACTATGTATCGCGCCAATATTATATAAAATGGATATCATTTCAAAACGAATGTTAGCCAATGAACACACCATATTTGCATAAGTGTCTCTCCTAAAAAAATATTGTATGATTTACCATTAATAAGCTATAAATCCAAATGCAATTAAGTATATTAGGAATTATAGTATGTTAACAAAATCATAATGCAAGAAAAATGATTTTATACCATGTAAATGTGACTGCAGCAGGACCATCCTTGCCCATGGGAAATCTACTCTGAAGGAAATGTAATTGGCAGTAATATTTCTTTAGCAACACACAACCAGCCATATCAACGGGTGGTCTAACTGCCATTGAGCGTAAACTTTCCAATTGATGTATCTCATTGTTGTATGACTCAGGATCCTCATTATAAAAATCTCGTATGTACTAAAGAAAAGAACAATACATAAAATAATTAAATCCAGACAAATCCATTGCATTCGAAACAATCATAATTGCAAGCTGTGCACATCTCTTATCAACACATTGACATTCCGTGCAAACAGCAGATTTGTAACAACACCTGGCATAACGTAAAAGTTGACTAATTAGATATAAAAAGAAATGTAAACTTGCGGAATCGGTACCTGTTTGAGTTTTGGTCCAAAAGTAGTCGGCTCCGGGCTAACTTTTACTTGAAACCATATCATCGGCAATCTCGGCACTGCCTCCATGTCGGCCCGTTTGTTCAGTCCTTATTTTGTCAAAATGTGAAACACTGGCAATCGGTCATCTGTCAAACGTATTGAAAATGGATTCAGTCAAGATCATACATTATTCTATCACGTACTATACACTTGTGACGAAAGATTATGATCCTTTTAGGCAGCGTACTCAATCTAGACGGCAATTTCTGTTCATGAAAGCGACCAAGGCGTCAGGTTGACAAGTTCAAAGAACCTCACTCTAGAATAAAAATTCTAAAACTATACTATAAAAAAATCTCATTATCGCATCGAAGAAGTAAATATTGATTTCCAGAATTTTGAAAAATTGTAAAAGTTAATGAAAAATATAGAATGAACATTATTAAAATTTTGATAAAAGTTCTATTGATGTAAAATTTAGCTAAGATCAAAACTACTAAAATGACATGAGAGCCACTGCTGAAGACTTAAAAGCTCGTTTACATAACATATCACTTGCAGTAAATTAGAAAATTAAATAAGATTATATTTATCATTGCAAATTAAATAATTTTTCCATTTTCTGAACTTATAAAAGATACTACCTGGAAGATAAAAATGGACTAAAATGACATTCCTACTGCTTATTGAAAACACTGCCAAACTATTTTTTAATACGCCATCTGTTAGAAAAGCTGACAAACTTTACACTAATAATATGTTACTGGAACAATAGATGACACTAGGTTAAAAATATATAAATTGAAATTGAGGATATAAAGTAATATAAGTATAAGGCCCTATGCATAATAGAAAAAATATTAGGAATAAGAATAAATATTAAATATTAGAAGGAAATATATTATAACAAATTGATATTATTTCATTTCAAAACAAGAAAATGAAATGGATTAACGTATCATCAATTAGGAAATAAGAATTAGAAATAATTAATCCATTTCGTTCCTTTGTTTGAAGTAAAATAATTGCTCTTCCTAATATTTAATATTTATTCTTATTCCTAATATTTTCTTTATTGTGTGCAGAGCCTAAGAATATAAAGTAATATAAGAATATAAAGGATATAAAGATATAAAATAATTAAATTAAATATAAAACAAATTTTCCAGTAATTGGACACTTAAGAAATTATTATTAAAGATATAATTTTTTATCAAAATTTTTTCTCGTCTTTTTATATAAGATTAAAGTATACTTTACGGAAATAAAATCAAATTTATGTAACAAAAATATAAAATCAAAATTAAAAATTGCATATTTAAACATTATATTATTTATTTATGTTTTAATGTCTTCAAAATATTCGTTTAGCAAATATAATTTTCAATTCAATTTATAATAAAATTAAATTTAACTTAATAAAATTTGATTAAATTTAACGTAGCGATTGTTGCTATAAAAAAATTTAAAGTTGTTTGAACCGAATATCTAATGATGTAATGCCACGACTTATTTTATCTCGGATTCATTTCCGCGGGATGCCGCAGTATCCTTTCGTTCACATTACGGTTTGTCTCGTCATTCTCGTCAAAAGTACGTCAACGTTAACAGTGAAATAATGACATGGTGGACGACAATTATTTTTCTCTTCCTGACGACGCGATTCCTCGTGTTTGTATCCTCGGAATATTGGAATTTGGAGAACCTCTGCAAGTCTCAAGATACCTGTTCGAAATGCCTACAAACGCCGCAATGTGTCTGGTGCTCCATGACGGTAATGAATATTTATATATATATATAAACGTCGTTAACAAGCAGACTCGCTAAAGATGACATGCGACGAGAATCTACGAGAAGAGGCATCGAACGCACCTGCGCGATTTCATTTCGCGTCATTGACATTCCACTCCGCTGATGATTCATATATTAAATGAAGTCACCGATTGCACCGCGCATCTATTTTGTGATCACATGATTTATATGAGAAAAATATTTTTTATTTACGTTCTGATTTATTTAAATTGATTGGAAAAAAGTATTATTTATAATTAATTGTAGTGTTAACGAGAAAGATATATTTCAATTAAGATACAAAAATGATTGACTCGCTCGACTTTGAATTTTTTTACGACTCTTTTTTGGCCTTGCAACATTTCCACGTTTGTACATTTACTGGTATAGAATAGTAATTAGACGCATAGTTTTAATTAGTGCATCAAGAATTTTTAATTTGTATACTTCAACCTACATATAATAGCTAATAACTGATCTTTATTTGCGGTTTCACAAGATATTTGGACAGAATGTGAACAATCTAGATCGTTGTGTATCCAAAGAAACGTATCAGAAAAAAGGTGATCTTTGGTGCTTACCATCAAACGTAGTAGACAAAAACAGCACCATGGAGATCACCGAAGATCGAATGTTATCTTCGAAAAAGGGCAAAGTTTCCGTTCAGATTCAACCTCAAAGGATACGTTTGCGTCTCAGACGAGGTAAGATAAATTCTGCAAAAAATTTCATTTTTTACATGTTGAATCTTAAATCTTTTTGCAAGATTATTAACATATTAACATAGATTATTAACAGAATATTATTTAACTTATTTGATGACTCATAATAAAATAAACGGATGTTAAAGTAGAAAATAACTCCGCCGGCTTTGCATCTGAAGACGAAAAAGTTCTTTTGAATATCATAATATTTAACATTATTAAAAATATAGAATATTAAATATCGTTTATAATAAAATAAAATAAATTATATGTATTTACATGTGTTTTGATAGTATTTAATATACGATAATTTTGTTAGTATTAGTTTTAGTTAAAATAAATTAAATTCTAAGAGAGAAGAAAATTTAAACAAATTATTAATAGGAGAGAAGTATCGAGTGACTGTTAAATACAGTCAGGCGGAGGATTATCCTGTGGATTTATATTATCTCATGGATCTATCCTATTCTATGGAGCCGTACAGAGATAAGTTATCAAAACTTGGCCTGCAGTTGGCCAAAGCTATGCAAAATCTCACGTCGAATTTCCGTATCGGATTTGGCAGTTTCGTAGATAAAGTCATTTTACCGATGACTAGCACGCAGCCTGACAAGTAATTATGTTTATCAGTAATTACATTATGTTAATTGTGTTTATCATATGAATCATTATAAAAGACATTTTGACCGATAAAATAAATAAAATAATTGCCACCACCGAGATTTTTATAGTGGAATAAAATCTGTTTATAAGATATGATTTATAATCTGATTGCATTTTTACATTAGATTGAAGTCTCCATGTAATTTGAGAAATAAAAATGTACCTTGTGCACCACCTTACAACTATAAAAATCAGATGCCTCTTACCGAGAACATAACTCTATTTAAGGTAATTGGTTGTATTCGGCACGTGTTAAAAGAATTTTTTAAAATTCTATTAGTCAATATATGTAAGAGAGATAATAGGCAAATCGCCTGTGTTATTAAAATTTAACTTGTATGTTTACAATGCCGATCGTGTAGATCTAGAGTGTTAAACTCGCAATCCGTAGCACCTTTAAGTGCAGCCCATTCTATTATAAGCACTTTCACTATATTAGAATTTCATTCTTTTATAATAAACCGGATATTACATGTAAACATCTTATGGAAGTATAATCTATTTAAACGTTTAGCACATATACCGTTTTCAACTTTGCTTTGTTTCTTAAGTGGCATATAGGAAATGAGTTTGACACGACCGATGTAGACGATTCAATACTAACAGTTAATTTTATATATTTAAAATAGTTTGTGTTAAATACAATCAATCAACAAATTTTAGGATCAGGTACAGGCGGCACCGGTGTCAGGTAATTTGGACACTCCCGAAGGTGGGTTCGACGCATTGATGCAGGTCATGGTATGCACTAAGGAAATCGGCTGGCGCCAAAAAGCTCGTCATCTTATCGTGTTCTCAACCGACGCGACATACCACATCGCTGGAGATGGTAAGGTATGTGGAAATCTTGCAAAAGCGAAGCCGACTTCGAACAATAACATACTGAAATAAAACGACCGTAGCGAAGTAAAATTAGCAACTAGCAGATGAAAAATCTGGTTTATCAGCTTGCAGGGATTATAGAGCCTAACGATTGTATGTGTCACTTGGACAAAAAAGGATTTTATAGTTACTCTCTTCTACAGGATTACCCGTCGATTTCTCAGGTGCACAAGATTTCTTTATCTACGGACTATTTATTTATGCAGAATACAAATTTAATCGCAAAAACATTTATTTATCCTTTCAGATCAATAGAAAAGCGCGCGAGCATGATATAAATATTATTTTCGCCGTATCTCCAGATATGATCAAAATTTATAACTCATTGAGTAGAAGTATTAGTGGATCCTCAACCGGAACTTTGAAAGACGATTCGCAGAACGTCGTTGCTTTAGTGAGCAGCGAATACGAGGTGATACATTAATGAATAGTATGCTTGTTTTAAATAATTTTATATATTTTTCATAAATGTAAAAAAATGTAATTTATTGATCTTTTAATTCATAATTTAGTTTAATTTAGTTTAATTCATAATTTTATTTATATGTTAGACAAGCTAATAAATGATAACTAATATTTCTCAAAAGTTTATTGCAAACTATTTATTTAATATCTAATTTTTAATTATAAATGGCAATTAAAAAGTTAATAATTTGCAGAAATTGGTAAGCTCGCTAGAAATGATCCACACAGCACCAAAGATAATCGATGTTAAATATTTTACCCGATGTTTAAACCAAACAGGCGATTTGAGAGAAAGTCAAAAATGTGAAGGACTTCGTGTAGGCAACGTTGTTGAGTTTGAAGTTGAACTTAACGTACGTGAATTAGTTAAATATTTTGGTCTCTAGTTCAATATTTGTTGTATTTTTTGAATAGCAACTGATTTGACTGTACTAGGTTATAGAGTGTCCAGAAGATCCCAAAGATTGGAACCAAACCGTAGAAATTAAACCCAGAGGCTTGAACGAGAATTTAATTATCGATGTGGAAATCATATGCGATTGTTCATGCGAGAGGCCTGAACATTCGGTACGCTAATAGAAAAATTACCTACAAATAAAATAGTTGAAGATAATAGAAATAATAAAGAAACCTTTTCTTATTAGTAAAAATTTTTTTTGAATGTGATTCCTAAGAATTAATTAATATTATTAATTATTTGCACAATATTGATCGTTTTACAACATGATTCTAATTCAACTTCAAATCGTCATTGGCAAAACAGGACTATCGGCCAAACGCTGCAGAGTGTAGAAATAGCGGCACACTAGTATGCGGCATCTGCGATTGCAATTCCGGTTTTTATGGAAAGCAATGTGAATGCATAATAAATAAAATCGATGCTGACAGCCCGATCTTCATGGACGATTGCAAAGCTGACAATCAAACTACTGAAATCTGCAGCGGCCATGGTTCATGCATATGCGGCGTCTGCGAATGCGAAATACGACCAAATTCTAAGGAAATATTTTACGGACAATATTGCGAGTGCGACAATTTCTCTTGCAAACGTAATGAAGGCAAGGTATGTGCGAAAACGGAAATAGTAATACGATTGTAATGTAAATTTTAAATATTGCAGTCAAAGGTAAAATTTTAATATTCTGCTATTATCAGTTTTCAAAATATATAAATAACAGTTAATATTATATAATGCTTATGCTCTCTAGAAAATATCATTTTATATTTTTTAGATATAATAAAAATTCACATAGACACACACGTAATATTTTTATCTAAAAAATGTATATGAAAACATTAGTGAATTACGCAGATAAAAAATTATACACAGATAACAACTAATTATACAATAAGAATTACATTATATATCATTCAGCAAAATATTAACAATTTTAGCAAACTGACAGCAAATTTGATCCGAAATGATGTTTATTACTACGCGTACTCTTGCATTTCCGTCTGATAGTTGCTTTTAACAAATTCACGCGGAAGTTACGCGGCAATCTTTCGAGTGAACGCGGCAACGCCGTTCATGAAAGCGGTAGGACAAATTACACGCCTTTGAACATACTCTATTATGCCCGTCGGTCGTCTCTTCTTCGTCCATTTAAGATCTGCGGCGGACGGGAACGGGGAAACTGCGTATGCGGTACCTGCGACTGCATACCGCCATGGGGTGGAGAGGCGTGCGAGTGCAAGCAGTCCAACAACACATGCATCTCGCCGCCGCGGTCAGGCGAGACTGTTAAGATTTGCAGCGGACGCGGCGAATGCATCTGCGGTAAATGCCATTGTCATGAACGGAACCATATTCGATTCTCCGGGGAATTTTGTGAAGAGTGTACTGTGAGTACCCGCGTTGTGAGAAATATCAGTCTAACAAGCGATTTCTCCTGATAAAAGAAATAAAGAGAACGATAAAATAAACCAAAGCATAGAGAAATAATATTTTAATTGAAATTTTACTTTCAATTAATTATCCATGTATAAGATTTATGCGAGATTATTGTGTTTATTTTAGACGTGTCCAGCGGAACAATGTAAGGAGTTGAAGGACTGTGTTGAGTGTATGGCGTACAATGCAGGACCGCTCGTGAAGAACGGAGAATGTAATTTATGCAAACACGAAGTCATATTCGTTAGTAGTTCTTCGTTCAAGATTATATCTATTTTGCAAGCTGTGCGAAGCCAATTTACAATTTGCCATAGACTGTAAGTAAACATTAATTATCCCACAGGCTGATGTCATAGAGGAGAATCAGAAAGACGAAGAAACCGAAGCCCACATTTGTGAAATAAAAGGTGATGAAGATTGCATGTTTAAATTCAAATACCAGTTTCATAAAGGCGACACCAGAGACAATGCAATTTTCAAGATTCAAACTCAGAGAGAGAGAACCTGCACAAAAGCCATTAATACGTTCGGTAATTTTTTTTTACTATATTATTATATAAATTATGCTTTGGAACGCGTGTTATAAAACATCTAATTTCGCTTTAATCGTTTGTTTATTTCTACATTTACAAACGACAGCATTAGAAAATCAACTAGTCGTGCGTCGCATTTACGCATAACACGGTTGAACAAAATGAACTAGAATTTACTTTCTCCCGTAGGTGTTGCGCTAGGCGTCGTCGTAAGTACCGTCGTCATCGGTTCCCTGATTCTCCTCATGTGGAAACTATTCACTATAATCCACGACAAGAGAGAATACGCTAGATTCGAGCGAGAACGTGCTCTCGCCAAGTGGGACAGGGTAAGTCATTGTTCGCCATTGTTTTTGATCGCGTGACTGCAAAATTGCCGGAACGTCAATACATAGGAATGTTTCAGGGCGAGAATCCTCTCTACAAACAAGCGACGTCGACTTTCTCGAATCCGACGTTCGACGAAACTGCTAACAATGAATAATATAATAGTATAATAATAGTTTTAAATTGATAAGAAATGATGCTTTGAGCATTGTGTCAAATGTCGTTGTTTATTAGCGTAATCGTGTTTAGCAATCACTCGAAAAGAGAATACGAGAAGTTGCTGACTTTAAATGTTATTTAATTTATCTTGAAAATTAATATTGAATCAAGATAATTACGTTGTATTAATTAATCAATTATATTTAATAAATAGAATTGCCGTCTACATATTTAAAAATGTAAATTGCTTATGCAAAAATTTAATAAAGAAGTATAAATTAATACAAAAAACGTTTTATTATGTAAGTAAAAATATTTCGGGATTTTATCATATAATTATTATATACGAATGTGGAAATATTCGTTACAAGTACAAGAGGGGATTTTAACGCCAAAGTCTTCCAATTTACCAGGTCCGACAACTGGCGCCGCGCTAAGCTGAACGAATCGAGCAAGCCGCAGTGAACGCCATGCTGTTTAATTACCGCATAATGAGACGACCAATCGGCAGCGAGAATCTTGCTTGCTGTTTCGTGCAAAAACAAGCAAAACTTTGCAGAGCTCTTTCTCTTTTCCCTTTTCTCGTATCCTTCTCCTGCTCGCTCAACTCGTAATAACACATCTCAGCTCAAATACTTCCTGCTTCTCTATATTTATTGCAAAATCTAGTTGCGTAGGTTTTCCGACGAGACTCTTTATCGTTTTGTTCTATCATTCTACAGCTGTTTCCACACCGGTTTGCGGCCATTGCCGGATTTATCGATAAGCGATCTAAAATGGTTGTTTAAATGCCCGACTAATGAGGAGTACTCGAACCATTTTATGAATTTAGATTTTATTTATTTATTTTATATATATATGCTGTAATATATAATATTAAACTAACAGATATTAAAGGAAACGCTTTTCTTCTTAATTTATGGAATCTATAACTTTGCACAATTGACAAATATTCCTATTCGTAATTACTTTGTCGAGCATCTTGACTTGTTAAAGAGTTTGAACCTAAACTTTCATTATCTTCTGTATTTATATCCATCTTCGACACAACAAGAATCCGGTTATCCCGCTTAGAGTCCGGAAGCCTTAAATCCGTCTGCATTTTATTGTTAGTAGTTTCTATCGGTAATAGTTCTCGAATCGGCGTAGTAACGTGTACCACTAATCCATCCTACTAATTTCCCAATTTTATCCGCAAAAGATATCCTTGTTACTCTGCAAATAAACTAAACTTGGTCGAGAGAAAGATGGGAATCGCCAGAGCGCGATTACTCGTAAATCAATTCTAAATTCGACCCGGGCCAAGACAGATTCTGCTTTCTCTCGGACCGATTGTTTCGAATATCCTCTGGCCTCATACTTTATTGCCCGCTATGCACTCACGAGAAAGGCTGGCCTTTGCTCGTAAGGAGCTCGTAAATTCGTCACCATACTTGGCTCCCGCCGCAAACCCTGGGGCGAATCGCACTATATTTCCCATAAGAAACTTAAGGCACTACTCACATTCAGTATGTATTCGTGATTCTATTAATTGACGATCGAGAAGTCAAAATTACGTATGAAATTTTAGTAAAATTAGATGCGGAAAAATAGATAAAATTAATAAAAAGAAAAATATATAGAGGAATTTTTAAGCACATGGGAAAAACTCCTTAAAACTCGTATACATTGTAACAATTATAAGATAGCACTTAAGTTAAAAAAAGATTTAAAAAACCAATAGGTACTATGAATATAATATAATAATAATATTGAAGATGATAAAAATAAAATTTTAATAACATTGACACAATTTCTGTAATTATTATAGTCAAAAATATTAGCAAAGACAATACTTTTCGTGATAAAAATAGTAGCTGTTAAAAATCTGATTCAATTTACTTAACTTAGAGCGGTTTTATATATGGCAATAATAATGAAGAAAATAATCAAAATAAGAAACATAAGAAATAAGAAATTATCGTAAGGAAAATTAAGAAAAAGATGTTGCATTTCGAAAACGTAATTACTGTATGTCGTAAGCGATTATTTTTTTAACAAGTCCCTAACACTGGCGATACAATAGATGAGCGAAAATCAAAATTTGTCAAACGTCTTTGTTTTATCTGTGAGAGCTTGTTAGTTGGCTTCGCCATCAGTCATGATGCCTTTAACGCCTCGTAAAACCAAGATACACACCGCTCAAAATAGCCGGAGCCACGCCTGTGTGGTGAAGCTACAGGATCATTTGGACGACTTACACTCGTAAATAGGCCGTGTTGATGAATTAGCGCTCGATTATGAGACGACGTGCTTCTTAAAAATGATTACCCTGCTTAGCCCCCTTCTAATTGGTTTCCAGTTCAATGACAACGTATGATGTATGCGCATATTTTTTAACAAACGTAATCGGTTATATGATTCAAAAAACTGAATTTGATTAATATTCAGAAAACAGTAATATTAAATAAATAAATTGTATATTTTAATGATTTAATAAACTTTAAAAAAATTTATGATTGTGAAAATATTTTGTGAAATATATAAATCTTATGATATATTAATTAAAATTGAAATTGAAATTATAGTAGAATATCAACTTTAGATAAAAATTTTTATCGTTAAAGTTTTTAATTTTAAAGATTAAATAATTTTATAATATGCTTTTGTGATTATAGACTATATCGTATTGTTAACTTCTTATTTAGTATAAAATATTTAAGTATTATGGCTCTAATTTTATTATTATTCTAAATATAGACATGTGTATCTTTTATATAATATTATATTCGATAATTTCTTGACTGCTTGATTATTAACAGAATGCTAAATTACATTGTCAACAATATAATTATCATAAAAAATCAATCATTCAATCTCAAAGTTCTAAGTTCTAATGAGTTTGGTTAAGATACATTTTTGTAATATAATCCGCCCTTCTCCTACATGGCCGGGCCTTAAGTACGGATCTCAGAAAACCACCCCGAGGAGAAGAGAAAGAGAGGAAGGGGACGGTGGAACCCGGCGCTCCGCATACTAAATCACCGCCGCACGTCCGTTTCTTTACATTGCGCAGATTTTATTGATTATTTTACGGCCGGGAACATTGTAAATCTCTTCATCCCGCGTCAGTGGCCCTCTCGGCATCATTGCGAGGTGGCCCTATTGAGCGCCCATAGCGTCAATTATGCGAGTCGAGAAGCATTGTTACCATACTCGTCTCTCGATATGGCAGCAGCGTTTCGCGTAGCACTATTTCACTGACTTTGTAAAATAAATTTTTGCCAGTCAATCGATTGATTCCACTAGCGTAAGTACGAATAATCGGACGTTAGCTAAAGATGAAATATTATTTCTTCATAACATTATATATTATTTTATCTCTTATTTATAGCGCCAATATTATGTTAAAAAATGTTGTTGGCGCATTTGTCTCAATATGCTAGAAATATATTACGATTACCATTGCATGAATTTCATACATTCAGGCAGATCGCTTTCAATATTAGCAACCGGTATAAAAACCGGTAGAAAATCATAACAATTCTTATACAAATGAGTAATTGATGAGTAAGAAAAATTATTTCTGCCATTTAATCTCCAATTACAGCAAAAGTAAAGTTTGGAAACTGGCGTTTAAAAAATAATATTTCTTGAAAAATAATGTTCTTTCAGTGTATCAAGTTTTGTCTTCGCGTGATGCCGAGGAGGGACCAGCTGCGACGTTTCTAAAGGAGGACAGAATATGCCTGCGCAATTTGATTTACGTGCAGTGCGCGGTGAACAATGTTGTTCGTTTTCACAGTCTGCTAATGGTCGCCGCTGGTGCCTTAATTACAACCAAATACGGTCCAATCAGCCCGCCGGGGGCCGCCGGTGTCGGGTCGTTTCGAGATTTCCAGCCGGCCGGCATATTGTCGGAGAGGAACACGGAGGAGAGCCAACCTTCGCCAACCTTTCTTTCACCAACCGACGCATCCGTTCCTACCGCATGTCAGCGGCGTCGCCATAAAGGTGGCCCATCCATGCGAGTCTGCGTATTGAACGAGAAACTCGATTTCTGCGCGCGACAAAGCTCGACCGCACGGGGATCTCTGATGAACTCTTTATTGCGAGGTGGTTGTGACGGGAAGAATCCGTTTCCTCTTTTTGTTTTTGAATTATTTTATACGACCGATAAAACGAGGCAATTGGAGAGGGAAATATCTCTCGCGAAACTTATCGATCCTCAGTTAATTGGACCCAGTAAGAAACAGTTAACACCTTGTGGGTGTGTCCGGCCCGAGTTGCAACCGAATGATACAAGATAATGAAAGAATGTATAGATATATGTAAAACTCGCGCGAGCGTCGATGAGCGAATGCAATTTAATTCTGCAAAATGCATTTAAGCATTAATAACGGAAATTGTTGTGTCTTTATAAATTCCATCATGTAATACCAAGCGGAGAATTGATATGTCGAACGAATTAATTACTTCGTAATTTTGAATACATCTTATAAACCGTCTAACCGTTTAGTAGCGAATGCATACAGATATAATAATTTGATAATGCATACGTAGAAATCCTACAGTTAGAAAAATATATTTTTATACCTATCTAAATAATAAATGACACGAGAATATGTAGAAAAATATTATTATAAAATATTCTTCGATAGAAATTCACTATCGCATAATTCTATCTTAAGACGCATGTATATATAATTTAAAACATACAGATAAAATTAAGATTTTACTTGTTTTACTTCTTTGTGCGTTAAAGTAATTCATAATTGTTCATTTTAATTCAATTAGAGTTCTGCAAGTGCATTTTGAGAGCTGTGAGCTAAATTTAAAAAATAAATAAAATTTAAGAATCAAAATGTTTTTCAGTTATAACATCTCGACATTCTTGACACTTGTTTACTAGTAGAATCATCTTATTAAAAACTTAATCGTTCTTAAATGTTCTCTTGTCTGACTATTCACACTTTATAAAATAGACACAAAAGTGAAGCTTTTTAGCTCACCGTCAAATGCACTGAAGTCACTCTTCCCTTACTCTCTCTTTTTCATCATCTTTGAAAGATAAATTTTTAGCGACGCCCATGACCCGCGCTGCGTCGTAAGCAACGCTCTTCAACGCGTCCAAGTGCTGCTGCATCGTCGTGCACCACCTCTTCTTCGTGGCTGATGCAGGCCGAGGCTCGTTAGCGCGCGCCCGTAAATCAAGCCGCAGGG